TCTCTTAAGCATTATTCTAGAATCGAAAGGCATGAATAACATCACGAAGTATTGGATTTTTATGACTGGACTGCTAAAGCACTGATAAGAAAATTAATAGAAAAGTTCAAGTTGTGGAGTACCAAGGTATGTCCAAGTCTCCAATCTTGCGTTTAGTTAAACAATTATATATATTTCATGATTGTTCAATTGTTTGAAGAAAAAAAATATATATATATATATATATATGTATGTGTGAATTATGCATTAAATTTTTTGACTAATAAGTTTTACAAACAAATCAAAGAAAAATGTTCGACTTACAGATTTTACGAACAATCGAAGAAAAATGGTCGCACTCGGTTTTGAAGTACAAAAAAAAAAAAATCGAGATAAAAATTCTTAATCGTTGTTATGAAATTAAAAAAATTGGGAACAATGTCTTTCAAGTGAGGAAAAAAAAAGGGATAATATTGGATAAACAGTTTGCAACAAATAAACACTATTAGATTTACACAAGACGGATACTACAGGATAATAATTAAAAGAAAAATATTAGAAAAGAAAATAGATCACAAACAAAATACAAAAAGAGTTAAGAAGTGTTGCTTTTACATGTGAGGCCGAATTATATTTTAGATTCAAAGCCATTTTGATATCTATAATTAAGAATGAAGATGAATATGAAAGATCATATTCCAAACCATCATAAGCAAACTTCATCAATTCCTCTGCACATACAAATTAATGATTTTCCTACGGAACAACTACAAAAAGAGCATGTTATGGATTGTTTGGATTTAACCAACTAGGTCTAACTTAGTTAGACCAACATGACTTTTTTAAAGATTTTGTCCCAATAGAGAAGTCGTGAGCTAGAAGGCAATCACTGTTTTGCAAATGTGGGAGGCTAACTCTTATAGGCATTAATCTAATAATTAACAACTAACATCGATAAAAAAAATCCACAGTTTGTGCCTAATTATTGTGTTTTTATTTTCTAAAGACAAATAAATTATTTTTTGATTTTTTTAAAAATTTTTATTTGGAGAATTTTTTTTTTTATATTTAAATAACCAACTTATTAGAAGACATCAAAATGTGATTTTTTAATTTGTAAAAATTATTTTCACGGAAAATGCAAATTACATGATTGCCGTTTTGCAATATTTACAATTTATTATTTTTGATTTACAAAAAATATAAAATATATTTATATTTATTTTTAGTATAAAAAAATTCAAAAATATATTTGGTACACATATTTATTAAAGATTTTACTAAAGAACCAGTGTATGCTCTGGATTGTTTGGATCTGACTAAGGCCAAGTTTGGGAAGACTAAAAAAGTGCACTTTTTGTCTTTTTGGACTAAAAAATTGAGGTTGAAAATATGGATGTTTGGGTTAACTTTTTGACTTTTTATTGAAAAATGTGTAATAAAAAATTGTAAAAATTGATTTGTAGGGAAAAATTTGAATTGGGAGTTGTGCAGCCGTAATTGTTGACTTTTGATGAATAGTGTTAACTTTTTAACTTTTTGAGTAACTTTTTGACTTTTTGGCTTTTTTTGAAGTCCCCAAACTTGGCCTAACTGTGCTGTTTGTGCCTATTTAGTTTTGATTTCATTTTTAATTTTTAGTTTTAGTTTTTATTTAAATATGAAAATGTGTTTGGTGAATCAAATATATACTAGATTTTTAAAATTTCTCCCTCTTTTTATTTTTTTCCCCTTACACTTTATTAAGAAATCAATTGCTATTAATGGTTCGAATTTATTCACTCGTGTGTTGTCTTATTTCTCGCATATTTGTTTAGGTTTCTTTCTAACTTTGAGAGTTTATTTGCATTTATTACGTGTTGTATTTGATTTGCATAACAATTGTAATTAATTAGGCATCATTGCAATAACATATAAATAAATAAATAAATAAAATTTAAAATTTGTTTAGGTTTTTTTCCCAATAAAATTAGGGGTGAAACACTAATAAATCTCAAATAGTGATCTTATAAACTGTTTGGTTCTCTCTTTTTTTCTTATGGATCCAAAGGTCTCATTCTAATATGAATTACATAAAGAACCAAACATAAATACGCGTGTGTTATGTGTTGAGGGACGAATGTAGGTTTTCTCATAATGTTGAAATTACTAAATGTAACACTTCAAAAAAAATTTGTAGAGTACTTTTTTCAAGTATAACACTCAAAAAATGTAACACTGTAATGTAAAACGTAATATTTTAAAAAAACGTAATACTCTGATATAACATATTAAAAAACTCCTTAGTATACTTTTCTCAAACGTAACAACGTAACATTCAAAAAAAAAACTCTTTTGTGTATTTTTTCCAAACGTAATACTCTAATCAATGTAACACACAAAAACTTTTTAGTGCATTTTTTTTTCCCCAAACATAGCACTCTATTGTGGCACTCCAATGTAACACCAGGAAATCACATTAACATAAATGTAGATTTCAATGTTCGACAACCAACACTTCAACTATCAATCTCTCCAAAAAGAATCTTTCACGCCTCATCTTTCCATTTTCATTCCAAAAACGAATTAGAAAATTGGAAAAATGAATCACAAAAGGACATTTACTTAAACTCAAATGACACCAAATTAAATAAATATAACTTTTCAAAACAAAAGAACTAATTGGTTCATAAGAAAACTCTTAAGACTAAATAGATCAGCATTCTCCCATATGAGATTTATGAGTAAATTTTTCTAAAATGAATTAAGACTGTTTAATAATTGTAACTCTTATCATTTAAAATTTTAATATTAAAATCATAAAATGTTGATTAAAAAAATTTAAACTAGCAACATTAATAATATTCACTAAATTTATAATTACTTATATATAAGTACCAAAGTGTACCATTATGACATAACCACCCCCACCACAACCACTACCACTACCACTACCACAACCACTACCACTGCTACTACGCTTACCAGTTCTACTACCAATGTCATTGTCACTCATTATTTCACTTTCACTGTCGCCACCACTACTGCTATACCTACCACTATCTCTACCACCAATGTCGTTGTCACCAAAGATACCATCATTATTTCACTATCACCACCACATTCGCCTTGGCACTACTACCACATTTCCCTCACCAATAATTATTCTTTCTTAAAAATTCAAAATATATAAATATAAAATACAATATAATGTGATGCTAAACTTTTATTCATGTTCACTTAAACGTGATTTTCTAAAATTTTTATATAAAAATATAAATTACAAATATAATCATTTATAATTTATAAAAAAAATAAAAATAAAAACTTTAAATTTGATGTTGAAATTTCAAATCAAACGTTATTTTGTTAAGGGACACTATTTAAATTGAATATGTGACTATTTAAATTTAAATTTAAAAATAAAAAGTTTTGAATTTAAACAGAATCAATACATCAGCTACAAAAGCGTAAAGTCTTCTCCTATAAAACAAACTCTCTCTACAATTTGAAGACACAAAAATGATGGCTCTTTTCTTTCTTAAATTTCTCTCTTTCTATAGTGCTATATACATAATTTTTTATAAATTTTGGACATCCAATACAAACTTGTCATTCAGTCTGTTATAACTTTTCATTGTGAATTAGAGTATTATGAATATTCTGAGTTAAATCTTAAAATTATATGAATTCTTTTAAACTTGTATAGAATAAGGCACATGTAATTTTAAGATAATGATTTGTGGTACTTAGGGGTGAGCAGCGGATATATCGATCCGCCAAAACCGACCGAACCGAACCGATCCGCCGCATTTTGGACGGATGCGTGATGATGAGCGGACGGTTGCGGATTGATTTTCTCCAATCCGCCAATTTGGCGGACGGATGGCGGATTTGAGATTTTTTGGCCGCAACCGAACCGCCAAACCGCCAAATCGCGAGCACCTGTAGTAATTTATAAGACTTTGTATTTTCAATTTGTTTAAATATTATGTTTGTGTTTTCAATTGAAAAAAAGTTTAAATATTTTGTTGAAAAAAAGTTTTCAACTTGAATATATTTTTGAATTGAAAAAAATAAACATATTATTCATCTATATTTTTTAGTTTTTAAATCTAACTCTAAAAATAATAAATAAAAAATATGATATATGCTGGTTGGTTTTTGTTTTCAAAAACATATGTATGATGTAACAATATAAGAGAACATTCAATCTCTACTACTGCTTCTGTTTTATGTTTTGGTGGTTTGAATTTGTTTATTATATTTTAAGAAATCACAGATTGTAAAATACTTTTATATGGGATGAATCATACTGTAATTGTTAATTATGTGGAGGAAGCATACAGTGATCGTTCGTATTCTAAAGTTCACCAAACTTTCCTTTTCTTTGGGATAAGGCATTACAGTGATTTGTAATGACTTTTTTTTACAAATCATTGACTTAAATACTTTTTTTTTTTTTTTTTTTTTTTTTTTTTTTTTTTTTTAAGGAAGTGCACAAGTTGATATTACTGTTGAAAATTTATTAAAATTTTAACCGGCCAACCGATTCGCATCCATCCGCCAAACCGCCAATCCGTCAATCCACATCCGCCCGGATTGGCGGACGGATCGGATTGATTTTCTTCAATCCGCCAATCTGGCGGACGATGGCGGAATTGGAGGTTTCGTGGCCAGTGCACCCGACCCGCGCCCACCCGCTAGTGGTACTTGTTCGAATTTCCCAATCTATCTTCTTACCTATCTCTTTGTTTTGATTTTTTATATATCAATATTATATTATTTTAATTTTATTTGTTTGATATCCAAAAAAAAAAAAATGCTATATATAAAAACTCTACTCTAAAAAATTAATATGAATTTATAAAATTCATGAGAATAAAAAAATCAAATGCAAACAAGAAATAGTAAATAAAACAACAATAATAGAAATCCTTACAAAAACACAATCTCTACGACTTCAAAAAATGATCTAAACTATTGTCAGACATAACTTCTAAAAAAAAATTTAAACAAATCAATGATTCAGTGGGGGTCACGGGACCTCTTTTGCAGGGTGCGAACATTTTCCTAAATAAAAATGGGCCACACCACTTGTGTGAAGAACCCTTAAACCCTAAACCTGAACCTCCCAACACCCCAGGAAAAAAAAAAGAAAAGAAAACCAGACCACCACGTCTTAGCTCGATCTGAAACGGCCATGGCGACATCAAACAATTCAGGAGGAGGCCTGGAAGCCCTCCAGCGTCTGAAGTCGGCGGAGCCACCAGTCTATCTGTCTCCATCGCCGGAGCTCTCTCAGGCCGCACGGTTAGCCTCGGAGTACATATTCTCATCCCTCAAACCCTTCACCCCCAAATCACCCTTCGATCACCTCTTGGTCAATGGCTTCGACGCCGAACAGATTTGGCAGCAAATCGACCTCCAATCCCACCCCCTGATCTCGACGCTCCGACGTGAACTCAACAAGTTTGAGAAGAATCCAGGAGAAATTTCGAAGCTTTTTGGGGAATTTAAGATGGAGGAGGGGTTAGAGAAAGTGAAGAAGGTAGATGATTTAGAGAGAGAAATTGAGGGTTTTGAGGGGTTGGATGGAGTGGAAGATGAGGATTTGGAAGGGTTTGATGATGATGAGGATGAGGAAGGTGAAGACACAGATAATGAGGATGAAAAGGAGGAAGGGGAGGGGGAAGAAGAAGGCGGTAGTGACGACGACAATGGTGGTGGTGGTGGAGTTGAAGACAGGTTTTTAAAGATTAAGGAATTGGAGGAGTATTTGGAAGATGACGAGGCGAGAGAGTATGGATTGGAGAAGAAGAAAAAAAAGGGCAATGTTAAAGTGCCAAATAAGGATGAAGAAGATGATGAAGAAGGGGATGAGGATGAGGAGGAAGATGAGGAAGGCGACGAGGTGAGAACTTCTATTCTTACTGGATATTCTAATTGCTAAGCAAATCTGACGTAAATTTCGCTAGGGAATTTTACATTATAGTTTTTAATTTTTTGACATTGTTGAGTTGCTTCTTGGTTTAATTATTTTACAGCATTGCAGTTGTTTTGTATTATTTGTTGCTTCTTCTGATTTGTACTCTGCTTTTCTAGCTTGGAATTTTTGGGCCTGATGTTGTTGATGATGATGAAGGAGCAGAGTTGGAAAACGTCAGGTGCTGCATTTTTTTTTTTTTGTTTTTCCCTTTTGTTATTTTCAACTTTATGTGTCTGCCATTTACACTTATCTAATGTGGTTTCTTTAGGTGCTCCAAATTTCAAGTCTTTATGTGCTTAAGTTGCGTCAGTGAGTAAACTATGTGACAATAACCCTAAGGCCCTATTTGATTGTCCGGAGATAAAATGAAGGATATAATATCCTTTGGGATTTACATGAGTATATGCAATGATAGGATCTATAGTGGATAACATATCCTACCATTCTTGTTTGTTAACTCAGGATGTGAGTATTGGACATATCATATTTATATTTGTTTAACAAAAAATATTGTGGTATATAAGTAAGTAATTTCCAAATTTACCCTCGTAACATCATTAATTCATATATATTTAATAGAGAAAGGGGTATATATGTCTTTTCAATTCATATCCCATCCCACTAGAGATTATATAACTGGGGGGTGTGGTATTGTATATCCTGCCATTTTGGAGGATATACAATCCATCTGCATATCATATCCCATTTGAAAAGAAATTGCAAACAAATGATATATGGGACGCACCAGATTATATCTCCAATCCAACCATTTATCTCCAGCCATCAAAGTGTATGGGTAGATAATTAAATTCTAGAAACATCAATGCTGAAATGGGAAATTTTCAGTCTCTTAAAATATGTATTCTAGTAATGTGAATAATTGATATACTTTAGTGATGGTCTTAAATTAAGCATTACAATTGATCTAGTCATTGATGATCTTTGATAGTGAAATTATCGATGGTTATATTGACATGTTCACAGATATTTAAGATCATAAGTAGGATAAATTTGCTATTGGCTAAAAATTAAACTGGCAGGCATTTCACTGGTTATGTTGTGCACAATGTAATTTTCATTGCTAGTTGTGATCGGAAAAGAAGTGGTTGTAACATTTGGAGGTCCCAATGTAACAAAGATAGTGCAGGGAAGGATGCATAGTTAATGACAATGTGATTATTTTGGAATGGTGGTTGTCATGATTGACATGTAGTTGTGGTGATGTGAAGGTCATGCAAGTATTAGCGTGGTGAAGAAGGAAAGTTGTTATACGTTATGACGGATGGATAAATATCTTAATGAAATAAGGTTTTGACATAAGCAATGTCTGAATGTCTTATTTTTCAAGTTCTTTAGTTTTATAGTCAAAGGAAAGGTCACATAAATTATCTTATGTTCAACTGTTATGGTCATACAATGAAGTTATTGATAGAGTTTTGATTTGTGCCCACATACTATTCTCTTTCAATTTATTATGTGGTAATTATTTGTATTCTATTTATATTATGCTATTTCTACTTGCTAATTTGTATTGGCCAAGACACTGGGGAAGCTCCTCTCATAAAATAAAACTATCACAAAGGGATTTGGAATCAATTCATCGATGGTCGTATCTGGCTAATAGCCTGTCTTAATATGCTCGAACCTCAATAGATCTTTATTTTATAAAACAACAAATATATAGGGCTTGCTGGTCAACTGTGAAATACATATACTTCTAAAAGGGAGACACATTTGTATCATATTCGTATCAGATACTGATACTTTTTAGATACTCGCGCATATGTATCGAATACTAATTAAAAGTATCAAACACTTCTTAATTAATTTTTCATTAATTTTGAAGTATTAGATACTTAATTTTTGAAGTATCGGATATTCCAAGTCACATATTACTTTTTTTATGAAATTAGAATTGTAGCATTTATTGCATAGCATTATAACATAATATAATTGTAAGGATAAATAAAAGAATACTGACAAGAAAACAGTGAGTTAAAATAATTGAATTTATCAAATTGACGTATCCTTATTGTATTATGCATGTGCCCTTATTGGCGACTCTAGGAATTTTTGTAGATGGGGTCACATCATACGCTTAAGTTTTACAAGTTTTTAAAACAAAAAACTTTTAAATTAACAAATATTTATTTTGTTTATTTATTTATTTTTGGTTGTTGTATTTAATGATTTTTTTAAAAATAATACTTTAGTCATTTTTTAGAGGCACCTAAAAACTAAAATATTTGTGAAAAATGTACTGAATTTTTGTATTTTTCATATTTAATAATTTTTTTTAAAAAGATTCACAAATATTTTATTTTTTAAGTGTATTTAGATTAAGTGAATAGAAGGGCGGGCTTGACGTAGCGGTAAAGCTACCTCTTGGTGACCTAGTGGTCACGGGTTCAAATACCAAAAACAGCCTCTCTGCTTGCGGGGCTGTGTACATCAATCCTTTCCCAGACGCCGCTTAAGCGGGAGTTTCGTGCACTGGGTACGTTTTTTTTTAATTATTATTTAGATTAAGTGAATCTAAAAAAGTAAAAAAATCCTCTCAAAATATTTAAAAAATTTGCCAAAGACTAGCAACACAAAAAATAAAAAACTCAAAACTATTTTTGAAAACTGTTTACCAAGTCACCAATGACACGTTGAATTACCCCACTCTTAGAATATATACCTTGCCACATATACATGAGAAGGTAAATGAGAAGATGCTCTTGGATGATGATACCAATAATAGAATATTACTGTTGTATTGAACATTTTTTCTTATGTTATGGGTTCCGTTAATTTTTTAAAAGAATCAAATTATTTAAAATAAAATATTAACAATGCAAATAAATTTTTTTAAGAGGTTTTATTTGCTTGATGGGATGATGGGACCCCATTAGCATACAAGTGCAGTCGCCCCTGTGTGCCCTATAACTACATAAAAAATCAGGATTAGCAATAGAATTTAGGCAATAGTAAAATTAAATACCAATAAATTAATAAGCAAGTAAACTTGCATTGCATACAACATTTTCAACTAGTGCAAAATTGAAAAGCATAGGGACAAGTTGTAAATTGTTCTGTTTTTGTAATATAAACATACAGCAGTGCTGCATACCCCCAGTGGGGGTCGCACCCCAGTGAGGTGTCGCGCCCCCACTGGTTGAAACTTAAAAAAAAAAGAAAAGAAAAAGGAAAACAGTTTTTTTTTTGGCCAATAATGAAGTGCCACCTCACTGGGGGTCGACCCCCAGTGGGTGTATGAGGCATTTTTCTATAAACATATTAGACTTGATATTGAAATGAAATATTTGCAAGGTCTATTGAAAGTTTAAAAGGCAAGCTAGCTACTAGCTTAAATTAATACCTAATTATTAAAAAAAAATTCAATATAAAATTATAGTATAGTTTTTCAACATTCTTGAGCTTATGTGTAGCTCACTACTAGTAATTTAAAAAAAAAAATAATTTTTTTTTTACGAACATATCCTAACCATACCCATATCCATTTTTTTTTGGTTTTTTTGTATCGCCATATTCATATTCATATTAATGTTTCTCATCTGTATTTGTGCTTCCTAGCTGGTCAAAAAAATAAAAATAAAAACCAAGCTGGTTCTGGTTCAATCCTAATATTTTTTGCAAGACGTCGTTTAACTTTCAATATCTTAGTCACTTGATGTTTTCTTTGTTATTTTATTCTTTGTTCATTTCTTTCTGCGTGCTCTTTATTTGTACATCTGTGGTATTCAGATATGAAGACTTCTTTGGTTCTAAAAAGAAAAATGATCAGAAAAGAAAATCTAAACTGATTGATGGGTCAGATGACTTGGGGACAGATGATGAGCAAGAAGATGAAGAAGATGACGACGAGGGCTTTGATAATCAGGTAGTTTACTGTAATGATATATATGTATGTATTCTAAAAAGCATTATACTCCTCTGTTTGATTCTGCAAGAGTTCTGACTCTTTTTGCACCATTATTGATTGAGGTACATTTGTTAAACCCTTTTCTTCTCTTTATGCAGAAACAAAATCTTTCTACCCATGAAAAAGAACTAGAGAAGCTTCGATCTAAAATAGAGCAAATGGAGAAAGCAAACTTGGAACCAAAAACTTGGACTATGCAGGGCGAGGTAAAACTTTTCATGTTTTTGAAATCTTTGCAATATCCATTCATATGGATCTCAGCAGTGTGTCACCTTTCTGTGAAGTGAATTCCTAATTATTGACTATGCATTTGATGAAAGGTAACTGCTGCGAAAAGGCCAAAGAATAGTGCATTAGAAGTTGATCTGGATTTCGAGCACAATGTGAGACCTGCCCCTGTAATCACAGAGGAGGTTACTGCATCCCTTGAAGAATTAATTCAGAAACGGATCATCGAGGTGAACTCCATTTTTTTGCATCTGCTGATCTGTAAATTGTTATGTCGATACATTTTTGTTGAAGCGTTAATTTATTGTGATACAATTCCATTTCCAATTCTAGTTTCAACTCGCTTCTAAAACTTTGATAGTGAATCTTAAGGACATCTAATACCTCACCTATTTCTTGCTCATGTTGCCTTAATTTTATTTTGCTGTGGAAAACTGATAGAATAAGTTTTCACCTGCATTAAGAAGGCAAGCTATTTTTTATTTTATTTTTTTCTAATTTGTATGGTACTACGGTGCCAATATATCTAGATGAAGGAATACGGTCTTGTAAAGCAGTTATAAAAAGTGCACATCTAATTGTGGAATATATATATTTATATATTTCATGAAATGCTACTATGTGGAAGTCATTAAAGTGTCTATAGTGTTGCAGGTCAGCTGAGACATTGATTTCTGCAAAAGACAACTATATGTTTAGGAAATGTGCATATCTTTATGTATATATTTGGTTTATATGTAGCAGTATTTTTTGTTCGGTTTAGAATTAAACATAGTATTTGAGATAGAGAAGTGAATATTTTGCTTGATTCAAAATAAAATGGAGAAGTTAACTTGTTAGAATGTGGTGCCTAAGTTGAGGGATAATCGGAGTTGCTTGGCTTTCCTCTCTCGAGGTGGCTCTACTTCAACAAATCTTAGGCGAGAGAGGGGCCTCTACCAAAAGGTTAAATAGTATTTGGGATAGAGAAATGAATATTTTGTTGAATTCAAAATAAAATGCAGAAGTCAACTTTTTAGAATTTGGCGTTTGAGTTGAGGGATTGTCAGAGTTACTTGGGTCACCCCTCTTGGGGTGGTTCTACTTCAACCAATCTTATACAAGAGAAAGAGGCTTCTACAAGAAGGCTAAACTTTGATCACGTCATGTGACACCTAGTAATCATACAATGCAGCTGGTTTATATGACCCCCGAGGTCTGAGCATTGATACATATGTTACATGAAACCCGTCAAACCTCAAATTTAATGATATGTAGACTTGGCAAAAGAGGGTTGTATTTCTATATTTTTAATCTATTATGTTAGATAAAATGGTGTTATATGTAACATATAGTGCAAGACATTTTACTCATTTTATAGCAATTATACAATAATATATATATATATATATATAATGATAATGGTGTTAAATATAATTATATAATAAGTATCTGATGGAAAGTATCAGACACATTCCATACTCTTGGCCAAGTGTCGGATGTCGTGCACGGGTATTTGATATATTTTGAAGAGTCCATGTAAAATAGAGTTGGGCCAAGAGGGATGAGCCACATGTTCCTAAACATGAGATACCATGTAAGGGTGACCTGGCCCCAATGGCCCAACCTCCCTATAATTGGAAGCCTCCACCTCCACTCAAAGGGATTCATGTAAGAGTCATATTCACCACCTCTGACACGTTCAAAGGCTTCTCTATCTCTCCTTCTCTCTCTCTCTCTCTCTCTCTAAGACTACCTCAGCTCACTCTCTCTCCACCTCTTGTGGTCCTACGTCATCTCAGTGTCTACCATAATAACTAGAGGGCCAATAGAATGTCCTCACCACCGTAGATTACCCACAATAAGCAACCGAAAGTGAAGAAGAGGAGGCATTCCCCTTTCTCTTATCTATTTCCTCTCTCTTACAACATGTTTTACACTCATACCTTTCCTTTTCCCAAGATGATGGATAGGAGTCGTATTGATAAAAGATAAGTTGAGAGAGAATAGATTGAGATGATTTAGTCATATACACCGGAGACCAACGGAGGGAGCAGCGAAGAGATGCGATACAGTGACGGTAAATGGAAGTGTTAGGGGAAGGGGCAGACTTAGATTGACGTGGACTAGTGTAGTAAATAGAGATATAAATCTCCTTAATTTGACTAACGAAATGGCCTTTGATAGAGTCGAGTGGAGAAGAAGGATTCATGTAGCTGACCCCATTTGATGGGACTTAAGGCTTAGTTTGGTGTGGTTTGGTTTGGTTTATTTGTTTTCATCAGTTCACATTTATCACCTTTATTTATTAAAGTGACCGATGGAGAACAATTGAGTTGCAATAACTACACCTGTACCATAACCGAGCCAAGCCGAGCCTTGCTTGAATTTGGCTCATTTATTAAACTAGCTTGAAAGCTTAGCTAGAGTTTGGTTCATTTATACATACAGACAAGCTTCAAAGAACTGAGCTGCAACTATTCATGAACAGTTTGGTTCACTTGCAGCCCTAGTCAAACGGATAATAGTTTGCCAATAATACTCACTGCCAAGGGACACTTACAAAATTTAAGATGTTATTCATGATTTCTAAATTATGCTGTGGAAAACTGTATTATTTGCTGTCACAGTGGAGTTCTGAAGTATGGCATGACGAAAAACACTTTCTTCAATGAAAAGTAGCACAATGCCCCAACTTTAGTAGAATTCCTGGACATTACAATTTTACCTAGTCATTCTTGTTGTGGTACACATCTATGAATCCTATTGTTTTATCATTTTGTTCAATTGTTATGTTCTTTTCTTACTTGTGCTGCTCACTATCAGTGTTGCTCTAGCATTGTTGATTGCTACTATACCAGCTTGTTATGGTATAAATCTATGAATCCCTTCGTTTTATCATTTTGTTCAAATGTTACATTCTCTTCTTACTTGTGATGCTTGCTTTCTTCTATCAGTGTTGCTCTGACATTGTTGAACATTTTCTTAAAATTGGCTTTGGCTATCTCTCTATGCATAAATATATATATATATATATATGTATGCATGTATGTATATACATATACATGTCACTGAATTGCTAATAAGAGATATCTATTGTATCGTATTTCTTAGGGGCATTTTGATGATGTTCAGAAAGCTCCTAGTCTGCCATCTAAAGCACCAAAAGAATTCAAGGAATTGGTAATCAATGCTTTCCAATATATTTTTGTTTTTTCATTTCTCTTCTGTATATTATTATATATATTTTAAATATGAAAGTAAAAAGTAACCTGAATGAGCTTCATTTTACTTGTATTTTGCAGGATGATAATAAGAGCAAGAAGGGACTTGCTGAAGTTTACGAGGTTCATATATCCTAAACTTCATTGGCTGTTTGATGCACAAATTCTCTGGCTGATTATTTATGATGTAGACTGAGTTCTCCATTATATACTTAGCATTATAGAATGCCTATCAGTCCATTAATTGTGAAATGATGTGCATTGATTCTTCTTTAATTAGTTTTAACTATCAAACATTGATTTTTTTTTATCATTGCAGGAAGAATATGTTCAGAAAACTGGCCTAGTTTCCGCAGCATTGTCTTTCTCAGATGAACAGAAGAAAGAGGTGCACTTTGTTTGCTTCACTTAGATGTTTACTGCCTTCTAGTGATTATATCTCTAGAGTGGTTGAATTGAGACAACTTATCTCTGTTAGCTGAACATCAGTATGGATATTAATGAAATGTGAAATATCAATTATTTGTGGCTCCTCCTCTCTCCCTTCCTCTTTTGCCCCGCCCAAGGTGTCTCTTCCTTTCTCTAACTTAAAATGTAGAAAACACACATGCAGACACATAAAGTAATGAGAAATATCTATTTTCAAATAATGGTGTTTAATTGACCACACAGCAGCAGCAACCTTACTATTTAAATTTTTGTGGGATTTTTTCTTCTCTCTTCCCCAACACCCCCCGGTGGGGGTTGTTCCTTTCGTTTTCTTTTTTAGGTTATTAGGATCCATTTGTTTTGGACTTTATAATGAGTTTAGTTCTGGATCTTTAATTTTTCCCAGGCAAGTGTGCTGTTCAAGAAATTGTGCTTGAAGTTGGATGCTCTATCACATTTCCACTTCGCTCCAAAACCGGTATACCTCTTACATTTTGTGATAGGACATACTTAAAAGGGTATATTTACTTTACCAATTTTGTAGTTTGTTTATACTTATCTATGATGGTTAACTTGGACAGGTAATAGAAGATATGTCCATACAAGCAAATGTCCCTGCTCTGGCAATGGAAGAGGTAATGAAATTTTTCTTAAACAATTCATAAGCCTTTTTCTTTTAATCTTGTTATATCAAAAAGCGTAAATTCACAGTTAATAACATGCATTACATCTTCCATGTGTAGATTGCACCTGTGGCAGTATCAGATGCAGCTATGCTGGCTCCTGAGGAAGTGTTTGCTGGCAAAGGAGATATTAAAGAAGAAACAGAGCTAACACAAGAAGAGAGGAAGAGGAGGAGAGCTAACAAAAAAAGGAAATTTAAAGGTAAGCTTATTCAACCATTCTAGAGATTAGATGCCAGTTCTAGACAGGTTTGCTCTATGAAGTTTCTTGACTGTGATCCTCGCTATTTTGCCCACCCTAATGAAGCAACTCTCTCATAAGCTTAAGATTTAGGGTTAGTCAATTACAACCTGGCCTGGCTGGTTGCCATTTGGTTGGTGGGGAAAGTGCCCTGATTGAGATTTATGAATAAGTGCCCTTTGTTTTCATAAAAAATTCACAACCAATCCTTGCCAAGTAGTTTATTGATCAGAAAGCATGGTTACTGTTATTTGTCCTTGTAAACTATGTTAGATAAATAGATTTTGAAGTATTTCTACAATTGTAGTTTCATATCTGTCATTGTAGACTACATAGAAGCTGCTTACTAAAACTCTTATCAATCATAGTCCATGTTTTTCATGCGCTTGTTTTCTGTTATGTCCTCAGGCATGAACAGTTGTGCTCCTGTACGTTTTTGCTCTTTTCTTTAACCATTTTGTTAGTTTAAGATTTTAAGTCTGTTTAGCCAAACTGATCACCTTCAGCCTAATGGTCCATAAGTAGTTGAAGGGTCAAAAAGTATTGGTACTAGTTAAATTCTTGTGTTTTTGAACACGAGTGCAATAATGTTCAGTATTGAACGATCTGCTGACTGATTTTCAGGATGGGTCTGTTTTATAGGCTGTAGTGGCTTAGGCTTGGTTTGGATATGGCTTATTTTTTAGTTTTTTTGCTTATTACGAAAAGACGTGTAGAGAAGTGGAGAGGTGATGTGATCCAAATAAGCCAATAAACTGCTTACTTTTGGTGTTGCCAAACCATGAAAACAGCTGGGCTCATCTCATTGCCTCATGGTGCAAAAGCATTGAGTGAGCGTGTGTGTGTTTTGCCTTGTAAGCAAATGCTTTAGAAATGACTAGCTTGTCCTAAAAATTTATATGGTATGCTATCATTTTCCCTTCAATCCTGAATAACTTAGGAAGTATCCTCACTGTGTTAATGAGTTAATTGGGTTTCTTAGTTTCAGTCCATATTTAAATTAGCATTTTTCCTCGCTTTAAGATCTCATTACCTGTTTTCTCTTTAGACCATTAATTTTGGGCGACATTATTACAGCTGAGACAGTGCAAAGGACGGCCATGAAGAAGGCACGAGAAAGTTCCTTGCAAGATCATGTTGATGGTGACTACTCTATTCTCTCTGACAATTGGTTAATTCTTCATCAACCGTAGCAAATATCAATTCCTCACTTCTGTTATTTCATGAATTACAGGCAAGGGAGAATTGTGAGTTTCAGCCTCGGCTTTCAATTTATGAAGAGTTCCCTCTTTACCCTTACAACTTGAATCTTGCTCAAAATTTTGGAACTGTCAATGGCATATGGATCTTTCAAATATGGTTGATTCAAGTTCAAATACTGATTGCTCGATGCAAACAAGATACAAAAAGAAAGAAGTGACAGCAAAAATCAGGATGAGGAAAGACAGAAGAGTATTAGTTGAATGGGGCTTGATGTTGAATTTTGGATTTTCTGTGATTTATGATTATTACTTTTAAATTTGGAATATCAGTTTTGACATGATAATTAAATCAATTGGTTACTACAATCTACAGAGTTAGGCTTATAAATTCTTTACTGCTTCTGTTAGCTAACAGTAACTTGTTTATGAATCATTGTTTGGGTAAGTTTAATCACAGTTATTATACTTTCCTTTGATTGGATTCTTTTCTGTGAAGCAATGCATATTCCATTCCTAGAAAGAAATGCATGATGCTGGCTAAGTTTGATTAGAATTAAAGTGGTGGAAAGTGATGGGGAAAAAAAATCCCGAGTTTGTTTAGCATGGAATTGTAAGGAAGTTAATTTTCTTGTACATGATAGTATGATAACTAACCTTATTGATTTTTTGTTAAAAAACACGGGAAAATACCAAAGTTTAATTTGTTATAAAAAAAAAAATTATTTATATTTAGAATTTTTTTTTCTTGTAAAATTTTTATTCTAATCAAATTCATACAAGAAAATCTGTTTTATTTATTTATTTATCTATTGTCCTTTTTTTTCTTTTTTCTTTTTTTTTTCTGTTATTTTCACATACCAACATTTATTTCTTTATGATTAAACGACCCAGAATTGACTCGTAAATTTCTTGCAAAGCTTGTGACAGCAATTTTTTGCCAATCAAAATGCACACAATTGCCTTCCTGACTTGTCTAGTTCATTGAGCCATGAGACAACTAATGTTAGGATTGATCTGATCACAAGTTCAACAAATCCATGTTTGATTTGTAGATTTGGAAGGGTATTTAGAAAGGAAAAAAGAAAATATATGTGAAATATATATATAAAATATAATTATATTTTGAGTCTTGATGAAGACTCCCAGCAGGAGAGGATCCCCAGCACCCCCCCACCTCCACGTGGGGGGCTGCCAATGGATGAAAATAAAGGAAAAAAAAAAAAATTTTTTTGGACCAATCAGAAGGGACCCCAGCACCCCCACTGGGAGTCTCATGCATTTTCCTTATATTTTTTTCACATTTCACTTATTTTTTTCTGTCTTTTTAAATTTATTTTCAAATTTATGAACCAAATACAACGTAACTAGACATGGACTAAGGCCTCGTTTGGTAACAGACTTTTTTAGCAATTTTTTGGCTTTTTAGCTAAAATGTGATGGAAAAAAAATTATTGGGTTTGTTTGGTTTGTTTTTGGGAGAGTTGTTTTTGAAAAAATTTTGAGGAGATAGTTTAAAATTTTTTTTGATTTGTTTGGTTGTATATTTTGGAAGAGTTGTTTTTTTTGGAGTTTGGGATGATTTGATATTTTGGGAGAATTTGAGTAGATGTGTGTGAGAGAAAAAGTGATTGAGAAGGAGAGAGGAGAGAGAAAAGTGATTGATTGATGTGTAAGAGAGAGAAAGTGATTTTGAAAATTTTTTGAAAAAAACTCAAACCAAACAATTTTTTAGAAATTTTTTTCTAAAACTCATCTCCCAAATGCAAACCAAACATATCCAATGTTTGAGATGAGTTTTTGATTTTTTATGAAAAGATGTACAAAAAGAAAAGATAAAAAGAAATCTTTGACTTTTTAATTTTTTTAATATCTTTATGATTTTTTTGGCTAAAATCACCACTTACCAAACGAGACTTTAGTTTGGACATTTTTTTTTTTGGGTAAGTAATTCCCTTCATGGCAAAATTGATGAAAACCCCCTAAAAAAAAATGTGCACTGTTTAAAGTCCACCGTCCTTTTTATTTTTTTATTTTTTTTGGCTCGAAGTCCCTGGTATGTTTCTGATTGGGCATGAAGGACAAGTTCATATTGGAGAGACTTTTTATGGACACTTTTGACATTCTCAGGCATAGTGAAGTGTGGATGTAACAGTGCGTACTGAGTGAGAGTCTCTGGTTTGTTTTCTTCATTAATTGGAATGGCTTACCAATAACATCACCATCCACTAGGTAAAGGTTTGTTGTCTTACTTTTCACTTATGTAATACATTTGTTGGAGATAATAGTTTATAACTTATTTTGAGAATTTTATTTTTCATGTCTATTGACTTTCGCTTTTAGTGAAATTTATATATATATATATATAATAAAGACAATAATATATTAGTATCATGAGACAGTAAAACTTTACTATCATGACATAGTGATAAATTTTAAACCTCAAAATTAAATATTGGTACTCTAAATTCTTTTATTTTGTATTTTTTAGATTTTAATTTAGAATTGTTTAATTTATAGCCCCATTCAATCATTGTTCGGGTTCGATCATGTATGTTAATTTTTGATTAATTTTATTTTTTTTCGGTTTGTTTTTGTTGTGTGTGATTTGTAATGGTGTTTGTTTATTGATTTGTAAATATGAAAGTAAAATTTCATCTTTCCTTGTGTACTTTTTTTTTTCTTTTTCTTTTTTGTATGACATATTCATAGAATGATAGTAAAATTTTATTGTGGTAGTGTATCATTGTGTGATTTGTTTGTGAACTCGTAATAAACATATGTTTCCTAATTAATTGACAGTAAAATTTTACTATTTACATCAATTTCGACAATAAATTTTTTTTATTAAGATTTTATAGTCAAAAATCTTATTTGATAGATCGTGATCAGAGAATTCTAAAAATATTAATTTTATTATAAACCGACATTTAAACCAAGAGTTATATCATTTTAAAATTTAAAATATTAAATTAGTCACTGAAAATATTTTAATAATAATGGTGTGTGTTGAATTTTTAAACAATTTTTTTATATACTTACCCCTTAATACATTAAAATTTTATTATAAAAAAGTTTTGACGAAATTCTCCACTCAAATACTTCTCAATTATCTTCTTGAACCACATGACTAGGAGACGACTATGACTCCAATGTGAAAATATTCCTCTCCACAATACTATATTGATTTTTTTTGGTACATCGAAAATTAGAATACTTTGTGATGATGTATCGATTCCCGGGTGGATGGGTCGGACCGGCCCAGGTTCTCCAGACTCCGACTCAAAAAGGGGGGCTCCGCCAGTTGACCTGCAAGCAAGTTCAGGGGGGGAACGGGGTAGTCCCCCAGTGAACCCTCCGGTGCAAGAATTAGAAGAGCAGAGTATGAAAAGACTGTATATCGAGAGATCAAGAGAGAGAGAGCAACTTAACCTTCTTTTTCTCCTCTTATCCTTGCTTATATCCTTTTGTCATCATTTTTCCTGTCTCTTGTGACGTGCTTTTTCCGCCGAAAGCCTGTGCCATAGCTCATCTTGTTTAGGGTGATGGAGGCTCTGTTCCGGCGGGGAGTGCTGTTGTAATAAATGCTGTGATGGGTTGCATTAATGGTGATGTGTTGTGATAATAACTCTGCAGATCTTTGTCTGCTGATGTGGCCCGTGTCCCACCTGCCGTGTGCCTAAATGCCGTTGGCCCTTCATGTCTAGGTGGCCTCCAGCTGTTCTGGGCCTTGTCAACCGGGTTGTGCCATTGGCCCCAAGCACTGGGTTCGGGGTGGTTTACCGTGGGCCGTGTGCCTTGTGGGCCTATCCATGTCAATTTATTTTCCAAGTAGATCGTTATGGTATAGTAGTTTCTTGAATGAACTTTCATTTTTAATATTATGTAACTTCCAATTTTATTTTTATTCAACTTCCATTTTTATTCAATTTACCTTTCTGTTGCACTTCTTTTTTTATTTAATTTCCAAATAGATCGTTAAGGTGTAGTGGTTTCTTGAGTAGACTTCCACTTTTAGATTAAAAAAATGTCATGAATTGACTGAAATATCCTTTCATATAAGTAGGAAAATACGAAACAATTAACAGTAAAAATTTACTATCAATCAAAGTAAAATATTACTGTCACTATCAAAGTAAAATTTTACTGTCACCACAAGTCCAAAAGTCAATTTGTGTTGATAAAATTTTACTGTGATTTAGTGTAACATTGTACTATTATTTTAGAGTTAATTTTTACTATTAGGTTTGTCAAAAATTGACAACTCATACAGTGTGTCACCAACACAACTTGAGACATGAATGTAAAAGTAAAATTTTACTCTGCATAAAAGTAAAATTTTACTTTGAAATAAAAATAAAATGTTACACTTTGAATCTAAGAGTAAAATGTTACACCCTAAATTTAAAAGTAAAATTTTACTCTGTATAAAAGTAAAATTTTACTCTGAAAAACTAGTAAAATGTTAGATTCTGCACAAAAGTAAAATTTTACTCTGAAAAACGAGTAAAATGTTAGACTCTGAATCTAAAAGTAAAATATTACTATGCACAAAAGTAAAAAAGCGAAGGCAATCTTTGTGGTGGCTGAAGTGTTTGGCAATGACCATCTCTTGATAATAAAATTTTACTGTCATTCTAACACTAGAGTAAAATTTTACTCTAATTCTCTCAAACAAAAAATAGAGTAATAGAACCAGAGTAAAATTTTACTCTCATTATCTGAAACAAAAAACAGAGCAATAGAACCATAGTAAAATTTTACTCTGGTTTTGTCAAATGAAATTAGATCAAAAACAACAAAAATAAATCGAAAAAAAAAAAACAAAAACAAAACAAATTAATTAACAAATCAACATATCTAATTGAGAAGAAAATTTTTTAAACTCGATCAACAATCACAAATCTCAATGAAATTCTCGTTTAATTGAGAGTGTTGATCGTCGTCGGCAAGATTGTCTATTGTTGACCAAGTGAGAGATCTTTGGCTACGAGATCTTTAGATTTGGAGATTGTCTTCATCGATTTCGTTCCTGCAAGATCTTTAGCTCAGATTTCAAATATTTCAAATGTATGATACGTATATATAGAAGGGCAATATTGTGATAAAAAAAAATAGAAATTATAAAATGCCTTTATTAAGGTAGGCATTTCCTACTCAGTGACTTTTTGAAAGAAAATTGATTGGGTTTTCCTTTACCCTAATAAAAAGGCCCAAAAGGGGTTTCATCAAAAAAATCCCAAATAAAAAACCTTAAAATAACTTGATAAAGCAAGACAAGCTTTTTTGTTGTGCTTTGATAAGATCAAATGTAAAGGAAGTTAATCAATGTCTTAATGTAGGAAGTTATCAATTGGGCACTTTGGGAAGCTGGCCACAAGTTTTGACTTTTAATTTATTTTGAGTTATATCACCTCTCATATTTTGTACTCACAAAAACATAAAAAAATAAAAATCAAAAATAAAAAAATCACCTTTTAACTAACTTTCCAAAATACCCCAATATCATTATTGCCCAAACACGCCAAAAAAAGACAAATATAATTTCAAGAGTCCAATGGGACAGGTTTTGTTCAAGAGCGCGGCTATTTATTCATACCTTTCTTCTTAAAACTATCATCTTCTCTATTTTTTTTTTTTAATTTCAATTTTATCCTAACATAAAATTTCACTTTTACCCTCATCCCTAATATTCTAACCTTAATTTTCGAAACCCTAACCCTAACCCTAACCTCTCTCAACTTCGGCTACCACTTTCATCCGTCGCTGACCAGCCCTTCACTACCAGCCACAACCACCCAGCCCCTCATCGCCAGCCGTAGCCACCCAGCCTTTCTTCGTTACCCCCCTCATCTGTTGTCACAGAGCCCCTCTTTGCCTCACCCTACCACCCCCAACCTTTCTTTATCGCCCACATCTCTCGTCACCATCACCGTCACCGTCACCGTCACCGTCCTTCTCCTTCACCTCCTTCTTTTTTTGAAAACTATAGGTTTTCATCTCTCTCTCTCTCTCTCACATGGCGGAGTTGGTTCGGCAACATAATGCCGAACGAATCCTGAATGTTTGGCAACATACTGCTAAACATAATGGATTTGTTCGACTGTTATGTTGTGTTTGGTTGGGGGATTTGAGGAGGGATTTGGAAAGAAAAATGGAAAAGGAAAGTGAAATGTGAATAAAAATACTTATATTTCACCTAATTTTACACCCATTTTCCCTTTCCCTTTCCAAATCCCTCCCCAAATCTCCCAACCAAATACAGCATTAGGGTTTTGGAGGGAAGAAGAAAAAGAGGAGGATAAAAGAAGGGCACAACAAGAGGGAGAAGAACAAGGAGGAGAAGGAAGTCAGTCTGCGAGACTAGATGGAGGAAACTCTCTCTCTCTCTCTCTCTCTCTCTCTCTCATTGAGGTGAAGGGGAGCGACGTCGATAGGGGGTTGGTGTAAGATGGTGGATGGGGGAGAGGTGGTGGTGATAGGTTTGGGTTGGCAGTAAGTGTGCAATGACGATGAAGTTGTTAGCGAGGGCTGTGATGGTGAAGAAGGTCATTTGCTGGAGTGGATTATGATTGTGGGACTAGTGAAGTGAGAGAAGAGAGACAAAATGTTGGGGTGAGGATATATTTAGGACTATGGTAGGGACCAAAGAAAAATGAGAAAATGGGCAATTTGGTGGTGGAGGTTTAAAGAAGTGGGGATCTAAAGTAGAAAGGTAAGGATATTTAGCGCTCTATTTAATTCTAAACATACGTATAAACATACACTAGCTAGTGACTTTCCCAGGTGAAAAAATGAGCTGAAAAATTCCAAAATTTGAGATTCATTAATTTGTAAATCAAAGTCAATTCCACCGATCTCAACCAAATGAGCATTAAACAATCTCAATAATTGTAATTAGATCTAATTTAATTCAATGAACACCAAATTAGATAAAAGCAAATTAAGGACGGGGAATTTAAGAAGAAAAAACCATATTTGGACAATTCTAATTATGATATATATATATATATATATAAAATACAGTCTAATTGTCACAAAAGAATCCAGTATGAAGAATAAGAATTATACAAGGAATTCTCATCCAATCACCGAACAAATCGAATCGATGGCCAATTGACTCAACCGTGCCTCTTCCAAACTCATCTTCACCACATCATTCACTCACTCAATCCTTGTGCCTCTTCCAAACTCATATTCACCACGAAATTGCTTCTCCATCGTCAAATCTACAACGGTGAGCTCACTCTGAAATCCACCAAAGCTCCCAAGCTCAAATCTTCGGAATTCACCAAATAATTCTACTCTTGGAAATTGAATTGAATTAGAAATCATTGATAATCTTCAATCCATGAAACTTTGGTCACTAAATCACTCTCAATTCATTAAGGTATAGGTGTAGATCTCACTAGAACTCTCAATCTCAGTTTTTCGCACTTTAGAAAGAAAGATCGCAAAGTCTAGATCCAGATCTAATCTTAAACGTGCAGTTATGACTGAGACTGCTCGAGCAAACTAACCACCGTTCAAGCGATCCATACAACTTTGCAAGATTATTAAATGAAGTGCTAAGATGTTAGCCTACATAGCATAGACCGCTCGAGCGGTGTTTTCACTATTGCAACTTTTTCATCTGCATGTTTATTATACTACAATGGTGATCTCTACTTGATAATCGCTTGATAACCGCTCAAGCAAGGAAAAAACAATAAAAGGATACTCAAGTCAAACGGGGTTAGATTCACATTTAAACTCTCTCATCCTAACAAAAACAAAAGAACAAATGTAATTATAATAGAACATTGTTTGTTCAACGGGATTGTCAATAACAGAAAGTCCTGACATGAGCCAACAATGAGATGCATCCCTTGCCTCTTCATGCAAACTTACCCATTAACAATTGCAAGGTAAATGATACACAATAAATACAGGTGGACACTACTTTGTATACCTATTTGATACCATTTAGCATGTTATGATATTGGATTTAATGCATGATCATAACTAACAGGATTGATAAAACTGTCCCTAAATATGGGCTCATCATTTACATATAATAATAAAGAGCATGCCAATTATCTGTCCAATTAAAAATCCTCTTCTCTTTTTTCACTAACAAAAATTCAAGACATATTGCTCTTCCAAGAGATCAAAATGATGAGCCGAAAAAGGAATTTCAAGAAAACTCAAACAATTAAACATTTAAATCACTGTTCTATTTACTCAGGTGCCCTTCAAGCCTCTCAATTGCAGCGCCAACACCGCTTTTCACTTCTTTACCATCATCCTGCTTTGGATAAGCAACCATTCTCCCTTCATTTGCTTTGTCTACAAGCTTCAACTGGAGCCAACCTGTGACAATGATTTTGTAAATTAGAGTTCCAACTTTCTCAATCCACTACTGTTAGTTCTTTTGTCTTATGAACTTTTCTTTTCCTTTTTTCTTTTTTAGTTCCTCGCATTTGCGGTAAGAGATGAAACAATATTATTGAAAAAGCAGAAAAAGCATGAAAACTTGCAAAATAATGCTAAAAACACCAAAAGTAACTAATAGAGGATATCACAGAAAATGTAGGCATGAATTCTAAGCCAGCTCCAGCCCACTGCAACAGCTTTTATCAGACTGGTTATGGTCAGCTTAAATATTTTTAGTGTGTTTACTATCTAATTGTTAGAAAGCTTCTAAAATCTAGCAAGTCAATTTCAAAATTTTCTACATTCAGTTTCTTAAGAGTTTCATCAGTCTGTTCAACATGCCCTTTGTCTTGTACCAACTACAAATATTCTACATAAATAAACCCCAAGAAGTTGGCTGGTGGTCAAGGTTTGGGGTATAGGGGTGTGCGGGTGTGCTCCCTCCATGGTCTTAGGTTCAAAACCTCCTAGGTGCAAACAATTTCTTTGAGTCAGGCCATGCAGGGCATTCCCTAGCTTTAATAGGGCCCCTACTAGTAAACGTTGGGATTAGTCCCCTGGATTAGTCAGTCCTAGGGCCAGATATCGAGTTATCAAAAAATATATATATTTTATATAAATAAATGGAAAAGTGATATTGTTTATATGTGTTATTGGATGATTCATTCCCCTTCCCAAGTAAACATGAGGCTTGGACAGGTTGATTCATTCCACTCTCCTGCAATTGAGAATCATAGGCTTTCTTTGAAGCAGCTGTTATATTTTGTCTGTCATGTTGCTTCGATTGTGGATTGACGAGACAAATATCCAATGGACATTCCCACGTTCTCTAAATATTCTTTGGATTTTAGTTTTCATATGACTGCAGACAGAAACACTACCTTAAGGATAGATATGTGGAACATTTAAGAGCAATCACTATGATGCCAAATGTTTCCAACATTGTTTATTATTACAGAAATAACGTTAATCGTTTTAATAGCGACTACGTTGTGGTTACAATAGATAGAAATACTGACCGATCATATTAGAAACAGAATGATTAAAAGCACATTTGACAATTTCATTTGTATTAAACAATCACTGTGATTTAACATAATCGCCGGGAAGAGGGTTTGCAACTAGTAAAAATTATAAGAATAATATGAAGATCCTGTTGTAGAGAAGTGTATGCAAAACATAAATGACCACTGACCACTGAATAGGGTGAAGATATATTACCAAGAGGGAAGCAAAAGGCTGCACCCAGAACTGATCCCAAAAGTACATTTCTTGCACGCCAGCGGAGTGATCCTGGCACTAGAAACATAAAGCGAAGAACAAAAAAAGTTAAAACATAGAGATGGCCTTTACAAGATCCTCTCTCATATCCAAAAGTATAAAACATAGAGACGACACTTCTTGAACCTTCAAATACGTCCTATATGACGAATGCCTTCATAATAACAATGTTCTCCATCCTTCAAACACAACTTATGCATTCTAAATATGTTTTGAAATATTTATAAGATGAATATATTATGTGTAATACAATGTTATATAATTGTTTTGCATTGCTTAGAATGTAATTGCTAAAAAAAATTACATTAAAAAGCTATATATTTCATAAATTAAATATGAACATATCTTTGAATAAATTATTCATATATATGACATATAATAAATTTATAAAATATAAAACTTTAACGTGTCCCAAGCATTATGTCCTGCATTTTTTGAAAATCAACGTGTTTGCGTGTCCGTGTCATGTCATGTTTCCGTGTCTATGCTACTTAGGGCTTAATTGAATAAATAGCCTCATTGTTTATCCATCTACAAGAAATACACCATCAGTAGCTTAAAAAAGTGACACAAAGCCTGACATCTTCAACACTCACATCTAAGGAAAATTGCTATACAAGATTAGGCAAAAGAAAATTTGAAATTGCAGGCACAGGAAAGATTTCAACTGGAAAAAAAAAATGAAATATTCCTTTTTTAAATTGAGACCCCATCATATTGTCACCAGTTTTTGCCTCACAAAAATTTTCTTATCAAATGCAGCACATTTTTATCAGATAGTAATTTTCTTGATTTCTTCAACTGATATTATTAAAAATTTTCCGATTATACACATGACTACTTTTAAGAAATCAAGGATCTGCAAAGGAAAAGTGAGAAAGCATATGCTGGACAAGGAGAGAACAATCACAACTGATAATAATATAAGTACAAAACTAAAATTTGCGCACCTCGAACTCTTGAAGATTACTACTAAAATCTTTTACCATCTTTAGACATACCAACCTCCAATAGAAGATTGAATTGAGTTTTGACCAAACAGGTAAAGTCTAAACGATATTGGATTTAAATTTGTTCTTATAAGTTTTCTCCGCACGTGCGGCCATGACTCCCGAGAAGGTGGTCTTTTGTATGAAGATTGACTCCTTACTAATTAAACCAAATGTTGCAGCAGTGGCAGAACCAGCAGCAACAACATTACAAACATCATGCAACCCCCGTTTCTCAGCAAGCAGATTCTGTAAACCACAAAATGCAGCAGTGAACATTCCAAGGCGCACTCCACCAACTATTGAGCCACGAGTTACCCTGACGAATCTTTTCTCCATTGCATCCCTCATTAAACGATGCTGTTCACGCTTGTCAGGAGTGCTCCCAAGCTTCAACATCACTTCTGCATCCTTGCTCTACCAAAACATGACAAAGTCTTTAAATAATCATCATCATCCTTTGAGATAGAATGCTTCTCAATCCAACAAATGCATACAGGAAAAATAGAAGATTTCAAACACCAACCCAAAATTCTGTTAGGATCTTTTGAGATTTTAATTCTTACCATGGGGGAAGAGAAAATGAAAAGAAAACTGGAAGTAAACAGATTGGAAAGGAAAGTACAAAACAGAAAAAAGATATGTAGTCTTGGCATCAACTCTGAATATACCTATGTGAATTTCTTCAAAATATATCATGCATAAGTATTATGTAGTCTTGGCACCACTTGGAATAGATCATTTACGCTAAAGAAGTAAATAAACAAACACAGTAAAAGAAAAAGTTAAGTCATATAATATCAATCACAGGGTCAAGTTCTCATTAGACGGGCAAAAACTGTCTTAACATATGTTAAACCTTAAATCCCTTACTTAAATTCACTTGTACAATCTTCTTTCTGTGCTTTTCTTACCTTCATGCTCAGCAAATTCTACATGATTGATGGAATAATAGGCCAAAGAAGAGGGGATTGTACAGCCCAGTTGAAGCGTATAATATGGAAGATTACTATGCAAACTGCAAATTCCTATGGAAGATTAACATGCATTTGAAGCATATAATATGAGAGAGAACTCACAACAGAAGCAGATGCCTCCTTGCTACCACCATATAACATGCCAGCGAAGATTCCAATGACAGTTGCAGTGCCCCAGTTAACAGTTCCATTCATCCTTGGAGTGACCTTATTAGAGAGCATATGAGGTTAGACTATATACAAGACAAATTATGTTTGCATTATTTAACATATGAAGGAAGTCATTATTGCAGGGAAGGTGGATCACTGGTTTAGTGGTTAAGAGTTAAAACTCGGCCTATTAACCTAGAATTTGAGGGCATCAGCTTTGTGCATTACGTCAAAAGTTAGGTCTACAACCAATCCACCCCAGAGCACCATACAATGGGGACTAAACTGGGCATACTCTTTTTTAGAAGATTATTGCAGAAAAATGATATCAATCTGTTATTTTTTATTGAACAGAATCAGCATGTTAACTTATCACTAAGAGGTCCGATATGTCAAATGCACAAAGACCTCAACATTCAGTGTTGCATGCTCCACTGAAATGGAGATTCCTAATACAACAACGCAAATTGTACCCATATTTGGCATACTATACGGGCGTGCGATTTGGATCTACTTTGTTTGGCAAAGGCTTTTTTTGGCTTTTTGGGCTAAAATCCACAAAATGACAAAATAGGTTAAAATAGCTAATAAGACAAAATGTCACATCAAACCCATAATCATTTCACTTTTTCTCTCACAAACATCATATCCAACTACAAAAAAATCCAACTATCTTCCCAAACACAAAAATTTTAGCCTACTAAAATAGTCAAAAACTAAAATAGCAACTTCCCAAGCACCCACTTTTTATTTTTTCAGTTCACATAAAGAAATATTCATTACACGAATGTACATTAATTAAATGCTCTCCAGGAAGTACCTCAGATTGATTCATAGGAATGTTTTTTAATAAAAAACCAAATAAACACTAGAACGATACAATCCAATACAGACCATCAGAGTAATTTTCTAAACTGACAATGGTACCTCCTAAAGGACTTAAACTTGACAGGTAGTCTGCTATTGATGATCATCCAATGTAGTGTTTTAAAAAGCTCTAGGCGTACTGAGGCGATAAGGTCTTCTATAGCCTAAGCGTGAGGCGAGGCACGCGCCTCACCAAAGCGAGGCGCAAATTGTAGAAGATAAGCAAAATTTTCATATAGGTGAAGTTTTCAACATAAACAAATATACATGCATTCCAAAAATGATAAAGCAGGTTCCACCATTTAAAGAACCAAAAAGGTAAACATTCACTCATTGGCTGCATAATGAAGAAGAAGAACAACAAATAGAGAGAACACAGCGAATAAGAAGAGAAGGGAACAGAACAAGGACCTGAAGAAGACGACGTCAATCGTAGATGAAAAAGACCATGTCATCCTCTCTTCCATGTCTGTTGATCCCTTCTTTTAATTGCTAGTATTTTTTATTATTTTTATCACTTTTCTGATCTCTTTTCACACGTTTGTTTATTTTATATTGAAGGGTTGTAATCCCCCGTGAGTATGCACACAAGAAATCACTTAAATCTAGTGCTGGGAGTAAAAAGCTACGTAAAGCCCATAAGGTCCTCGCCTTGCGCCTCATCCCCAGGCATGTGCCTCAGCGCCTTTTCTTCTACACCTTGCCTCGACCTGCTTGAAGAGCCTTGCTGCGCCTTGTTGGGCCTCGCGCTTAGGCGCAGGCGCGCTTATTAAAACATTGGAAGAATGATCAAATAATATTGATAGCGGACATAACGAAATACCAGAAACCAGAGTTGGGAATGATCTCAGAGCTTTCCCACTCATAACCCAATGATAGGAGACATGTTGCTCATACATTGGTAAAACTGGTACTAAACATGAAGTTTGTTTTTGGATGTTGAGACAAATTTGGAAAAGAAACACGATCAAGATTTCCAGTTTCTGTTTGCCTATTGCAAAATAAAATCAAATTTCACCGGACTGAAGGCTTTTTATTTATTTTTTTTCTTTCTCCTGAACAGGAATAATAGGTAAAAGATAATGAATAATACAAAAGTTCATTTTCTTAGCAAACCAACGATACAAAGGTAAGATGGTTCAGTTATTGACGCACAACAATGTCACAAACCAAAGAGGAACTGAAGCTTATTTATAGATACATAAATATACATGGAAACGTAAAATCAAGAGAGAATTCTTACATTGGAGACAGTTTCTTCTGATTTTTCGCCGGATTCCATGGTTAAAATTGAATCGAAGATCGCTCTATGTAAAACCCTGAAAAAACCGGTTGGTTAACCAAGTCCTGCAAAACCAGTTGGGGGTTTTCTCGGAAAACAAACAGAGAGATAATTTCTCTGGAAAGTGGAGTCGTGTAACCCTTGTAATGCAGTGGTTTCGATGGGGTAGAGAGAAAGAAAAGTGTTGGTGGTGATGTATTTGGGATGTGCTTTGGATTCTGATGGAGCAATGGAGGCAGCGATTGGGCAGAGGAGAGAGAGAGAGAGAGAGAGAGAGAACAAAAAAGGCAAAAAGAAGATGGATGAGTGAGAATTAAATAAATCTTGACCCTTAATGAATTTGAGAATTAATTTCAACCCTTGAAACAAAATGTATCTCTAAAATATTTTGACATATTTTTAAAAACCCTCCTACTTTATTATATAGATTTTTTTAATGACTAGGTGTTTGAGTCAATTTACGCGTGTCAGTGAATTGTCTTAGATTGCATTATTATTTAGTGTTTTTTAAGGAAAAAAATTTAAGGAAATTTAAAAAAAATAAATATATATATTATTATTATTAAAATTTGAATTTTGTAACAAAATAAATTATAATTTTTAGTTTTTTTAATTTAAATATTATTTTTTTAATTTATTTTCGATTTAAATCACCTACTTATTTTTTGTTAGGTAAAATATTGAAAAAATAAAATGATATTTTACATATTTTATATATACTTATATTGTATTTAATGATTAAAAAATATATTTTTTAAGTATTACTTAATGAAAATAAATAAATAATTTAAATTAAAATATTAAGATTTGACAAAATAAAAAACCTTAAAATTTATTTTGGTACAACCATGTTTGCACACTGGCAGGCGCCAAGCAAGCCTTTGGTAGCATTTCCGTAAATTCCTATTACTTGAATTTATTATTGGATTATTCATTATGGCTTATCAAACATTTGGTATGTTTACTTGGCCCAATCTGCAATGGGTTTAAGATACTATTATAAGGGGAATTGGGGTGTTTGATGTGCCCTCAACTGCTACTGTTGCGCATATGATGGATTTCATTTTGGGTCATATTCTGATAATTCGAATCATTCAATTTTTAAGATACATCGAATAGAATATACTTGTAAAAAATCAAGTTGATCAGATATCGACAATCATTTCATCGAAATGCATTTGTATACAAATTTATATTTCAAATTACATTTACTATTTATTTTGAAATATAAAACCGTATACAAATTCGATGAAAAAACTATCGATATCCGATTAACTTGATTTTTTCTAAGTATGTTTTACTCGATATACTATAAAAAATGAAAGATTTATATTATCGAAATGAGCTCCGAAATGAGGCCAATCAACCACACAGCAGTGGCTGCAGCCACCCAAACTTGATTATAAGGGGGCATAGTGTGCTTTAGCTTGTGTTCCTAATGTGTGATGGGTTAGAAATGGACAACCTTTGGGCAACCAAAGGGTGAGCCTCTAACAAACTATTGAGAGTTATCATTCGTCTTCATGTGTGTTTGAGAACTCTATGGACAGTGTCATTGAGGGGCATAAGTGTCGACACTGCACATCATATTCTAGCGGGGGGTTTAGGCACGCACTCGCTATGTCGCTCATTGTAGAATATTTAGGGCTTTTTTTTTTTGTAATTTTTTCAAGATTTAATTATACACAAATTTGAGGTACAATAGTTAAAAATTGAGACTTTAGAATGGAAAAATCACTTTAAAGAATCAAGATTCATCAAGGGTATAAGAGAAATTCAATTAGTGTATAAATAATGGAAAATGTCTGAGACCCCTAATAAAATTCTCACAATTTCACCTAGAATAATGTAGAATGGTAGGTGTCAACTTTTGATTTGTTACAAACTCAATTATGTGAGCTCTACTACTTCATTGGCACATCATTGATGGTGTATTTCAAGGTCTTGAAATTTGGGTCTCTAGTCGTAATCATGGCGTCAAGAGGAGCTTTATGTGGTCGATATACCACTATGAAAGAGATGATGTTGCACGATATGCCCAATTGAAAAATAGATTTGAACAGGTTGAGGATGCATTTGTGTTTACTGGCTCTCAGGAGTTCCCACTTGCCACTCGAAAAGTCATGCCGGAAGTGCAAACACGTAGGCTTGTTGATTGAATTATATTGAATACGGGAATGACAGAACTTGTGAACCTAGTTCAAGGTGTAGGAATATTTGACCATTCCTAACTTCTAACACAGAGAAATGATTGTGTGTGGGTTCGGATCTTACCCCAATGAAGAGGACTTTTACTAAATTTGCTAAGTGCTAAAGATATGTTAAACTAGAATTGAACTTTCATCTATTGACAAATGAAGTACAATTGACTAATTTAATTAATCTAATGTCTATACCTTTTTTGGCAAAATTACCACGTGGTAATTTCCCCAAATTCTTTGTGCCACGTGGCGATGTAAGATGAAGAACCAATGATTTCATGGAACCCACCGCCAAAGTCAAATGGCGGTGGAGCAAAAGGTAATTATTTTATTTTATTTTATTAATTAACTAAGCTGATTGGTTAATTAATTAATTAAACAAAATAATTTAGATTTGATAGATAAGACAAATCTTAACCACTCCTAAGATTTAGAAGACTATTGCGGCTTATCTCCTAAAAAGTGCCTTATCTCATAGTTTGTTAGTAAATGATTGATATGGATAAAGATTGCATGGGAATTGAAAATAATGCAAATCCACAACAAGGCTACAATAGTGGAACCATTTTTTCCAACTCAAGTCAAGGGAGGTTTTGATGGGACACGTGTGAACCTATGAAGATGTGCAAGATCCACAAGACACTACAATCAAGGAATTATAATTTCGCAAATGAAACATAATTGCATTTCTGAATTTCTTGAAGATAAACATGCACAACAAAGAGAAGAGGATCCATGAAACAACAAAGGAGATTTTTTTTTCACAAATCAAGAAGAATAAATTCAAATTCAAATATGAAAGGATATGTGGCGGCCTATGGGAGCTCAATGGACCAAGTCAAAGTGATGGAGATAGGCATTAGCCTTTAAAGATCCAAATTGTTCATACTCTTGGGGGATCAAACTAAGGATCAAGGACAAACGTCATCAAGAAGAGTTGCCACGTTTCTGGCAGTTGAGCAGAAATAAGGGTTTCCCCAACACTATATAAAGGGCTCCAAGAGCAACATCTGAAGGGGTCTAGCACCAATCAACTCGACTAAGAGTCTTTCAATTCATCGTAGCTTTTGTGTGTGTCAATTTCCGATCACACTGCCAACTCAATATTCAGCTGGAGAGCACTGGCAGAATAGATGACACTTGACTGACCTGCAACATAAAGAGAAGATTCCGGCGGTGGTTTGTCCACCCGGAGGAACTCCGACGATCAAGTCAGTATATCTCTCAAAGATAATCAAAAGTGCTTAACTCAATATTCAGAGCATAAAAAGCATACCTTAGACCCATGGGGGTGTCTCCCTTTTATAGCCAACACAATCCTAGTTCTAATAGAAGCCTAACTTCAATGGACTCAGGATTACTGCTAATCTTGAACTCCCAATAGGATTGGGATAAACTCTCTAAGAGTTTTATCTTAATCCAAACTGAAGTCTTCCTCATTCTAGGACTCTTGTCTCTTATCCGCTTATCTTGGATTCTGATATCTTCGTAGATAACCTTGGCCTAGCAGAGATGATGTTGGCGTCATGACCAGGACACGTGGCATCTCAGCTGGCACTTCGGTGACACCTCGGCCACGTGTTGTGATTCAAAAATTATGTCCCCACAACTGCCCCCTAGGTTCTATTACCTCGTAAATTCTTAAAATTTCAACAAGTGTTAAACATGACCTCGGTTTAACTTCAACTTGTAAATTCTTAAAATTTCAACAAGTGTTAAACATGACCTCGGTTTAACTTCAACTTGTAAATTCTTAAAATTTCAACAAGTGTTAAACATGACCTCGGTTTAACTTCAACTTGTAAATTCTTAAAATTTCAACAAGTGTTAAACATGACCTCGGTTTAACTTCAACTTGTAAATTTTTAAAATTTCAACAAGTGTTAAACATGACCTCGGTTTAACTTCAACTGGTAAATTTTTCTTAAAAATTTCAACTGGTATCTTTGTAGATAACCTCGACCTAGCCGAGATGATCTCGGTGTCATGACCAGGACACATGGCACCTCGGCTGACATGTCAGCGTCACCTTGGCCACGTGTTGGTACTTAGAAAATATATCCCCACAACTGCCCCTTAGGTTCTATTATCTCGGCATTTTGAGGTGATGGAACCTATATTGGTACTTCCTACCAGAACGTCGGTTTAAAGTATCGTAGTCGAGATCATTGTTAAGGCCGACATTTCTTTTTAAAGAACAAGGATCCCAAAGATGCTACTGATGAGAAGGCATTATTCGACGTGCCCCTCGCCGACAAGAGCCT